GTGTGTGTGTGTGTGTATTAATCTGTAATGCTAATCCAAGTATCACACAATATTCAAGTAACGTAACTTGATTACTTTCTGTAAAAACACCAAACATACAAAGAATGATGTAAACTTTGGAAAGAAAATAGAGAAAATGTAAAGATTTTTTTGCATAAATAATCCCTATTTTTACTAAATATGACTGTAATTAGATTGTAACTAAAAAAAAAAAAATTGTATCCTGATTACGTAGCTCGGTAACATGTAATCGATTACTCCCAAAGTCTAACAAACAGGAGGAAGAATGGCTCCAAAGTGATGTGTAATTTATGATGGTTATCCTAATGTTTAATTTATTTATTAGAAAAATATAATGCACACAGAACGACAAAAAACATACATATATATGTACAATATTAATCTGAAATGCTAATACAAGTATCACACAATATTAAAGTAACATAACTTGATTACTTTCTGTTACTTTTGGATTAACTCAACACCAAATATACAAAGAATGATGTAAACTTTGGAAAGAAAATAAAGAAAATGTAAAGATTTTTTTGCATAAATAATCCTTCTTTTTACTAAATATGACTGTAATTAGATTGTAATTACATTTTCTTTATATCCTGATTACGTGGCTCAGTAACATGTAATCTGTTACTCCCAAAGTCTAACAAACAGGAGGAAAAATGGCTCCAAATTGATGTGTAACTTATGATGGTTATCCTAATGTTTCATTTATTTATTGGAAACAAAATGAGACAAAGACTGGGAATTGAAACGTGCACAAATATATGCACACTGAAATAAAACACATCACTCTTACAGTGTTAATAGAAACTACTTGCACACTCTCTACCCCCACTACCCCCACTACCCCCTTACCCTCGGGTATTACAGGAAACGTCAGACACTTTGCAGCGTCTGTGTGGTTTGTGAGTTGGCTGAATGTTTACTGACAGCACTGCAGTCGCCTGAACTTCCCTCTCGCTGTCAAACTGATTTGTAATGTAAATATTAGTTCACTAAGTGATAAACACACATTACATCACTTATTTGAAAGGTATTGTTACCTTTAAAAGCATCGGCAGTGCATATTTGACCAGGTCGTCTTGCAATTGAAGAGCATTTCATTGTTAAAGGCTCATAATAATTTTAAACACTGCACACAAGGGTTGTACTTATACAAGTACACAGCTCTAAGCTGCTAATTACCATTTTAGGTGGGTTCAATTTTGTTCACAATCACAGCCAAACCTCTACATCTTATTAGTTATACGCTAGAATAATATAAGTTTTATCAGTAGCCAGGACTTTACCTTTAATGTAACAATTTAAAATGAAGGATATCCCTCTAATAGGAAGGATTTATGCATTTTTATCAACGGTGGAGATTTCTTTGTGAGATGGATCTGTCTGATCTGTCTCTTCCTCCTTCCTTCGCAGCAGCTTATTCAGGACCTTGTTGAAGGAGCCACTGAAGGCGGGGCTCGAGAAATAATACACAACAGGGTTGAGGACGCTGTTGAAGTAGGTGAAACACACCGACGTGTAGAACGCCAGGTTGGCCTCTTCGAAGTATCTGCATTCATCATACCACACCTTCAGGACCCAGACGGCTATGCGCGATATGGTGCTGGGAAAGAAGCAGGTAATGAAGATCAAAGCCACGGCCATCACAAACTGAACGGCGCGTTTGATTTTCCCCTTTTTGTCCAGAGTCCTGCCCCTCAGCTGCCACGTTATTCTGAAGGTGCAGAAAGCAACGATTACGGTGGGCAAGAAAAACTGGATGACGTAGAAAGTGTTGTGCCAGGTGGAGAGGGGACTGAAGCCCATGCAGATGTTGAAACTCTCACACTGCGTACGGTTGCTGTTGTAGAAGAAGTGCTCGTTGGCGAGGAGATACCCGGTCGCGAGAAAAATCAGAGCCCAGAGGCCGAGGGAGACAAAGAGAGCGTAGACCAGGCCCATTTGGTTGATCTTGTTCCGAGGGTGGACGATCTTCAGGTAACGGTCGACAGCCACGGCCGTGAGGAAGAAGATCCCGGCCGCACGGTTGGCAGCCAGCAGGAACAGCAGGATGCGACACAGGACATCGCCGTGGAGCCAGTTCTTCCCACGCCTGTAGTAGTCGGCCCTGAAAGGTAGGCAGAACAGCACAATGGAGTCCGCAACAGCCAGGTGAGTCAGGTACACGGAGTTGGGCTTCCACGTGTCCATGTGGAAGATGAACATCCACAGGGCGAAAACATTCCCTAACAGTCCAAATATGAACTCCAAGAACAGAATCGGAGGCAAAACCTGGTCCAGGATGGGCGACTCGAAGGCGCAGCACTTATCGGACTGAGAGATATTCATCCTTTGACCAGTCAATGATGCAAAACACCAGCCTGCTGCTTTATATAGTGTCAACATAGATATGCTGTACCAGGTGACTTCTTTTGTAGGGAATCATGTTTGCACTCATGCAAACGACTCTCAGACAAACATGCTAATTCCTAAGTGACGCCAACATCTGGCACCGCGTGTTATCTCTTTGGGGAAGTGGTATTGACCCAGAGGAGCATGGAAACAACTGTAAATGTTATCTGTCTGGAGAGTGCACCCTCATTATAAAACTATTATGCAGGGGAATAGGTTGACTCATGGGGATTGAGTAGGATGCATGAAAAACAAGTTTTTAAGGTTTAAAGTGACTCACATAAAAGCATGTGACCACGACACATCGTAACCCTAAACCATACCTGTTGAACATAAAGAAAAACAAACTTGGAAAGAAGACGTGAGTGTAGAGGCGAGGGGGAGACTGAAATTTATTAGCCTACAGTTTGCTTGAGTGAAGAACATTTGGGAAGGATTCACGTCATACCACACCTTTGGCAAACGAGAGAAAGCAGCTATTAACTAAAAAAAAAAAAAAAAAGAAGCCAAGTGAGTGGCAGAGTCCGCAGCTTTTTATGAACAGTAAATAAAATAGGTATAAAATGACTTAATGTGTACATTTGGCCAGGTTGTCGCTGTTACAGGTCACATCCATTTCAGTAAAAGTGCATATTTGGTCTTCACTTCTTGACTTCACCCAGATCGTCGATGCTGTCATCGTCCACCTGCAACAGGAGACAAAGAGACTCAACTGAGTTTTTATGGACAACATTTGCTCCCAAACGGTCAAATAATTTACTGGGAAGTCTAGTATTGACTTCTTTTTTTAACGCTGCAGGGTTTATGATGAAGTGTCTCAGGGTTATTACAGGTAGGTAGCCGGCGTTTCACACGGGACACTCGGCGTTAGCTCGCTTTTGTCACGCACTTTCATCACCACAGCACATTTTTCCGCCGTGGCGATTTGAATGCGAACAGTTTCCTCAGAATTTATTCAAATCAAGAGGAATTTATTTTGTTTTGCAAAATATTTGTGGGAGTGCGGATCTAAAATAGATTATTTGCAGGATTTTTGGTTATTTTAATCTAATTCCAGTGTGTATTACTGTCAACAAATACCATGAAAAGACCAAATTCAAGTTCTGTGTGTATCAAAGCCTGATATTACTTATTCCTCTGTGCCATAGAGCTCTAACGTTGTCCAAAACCTATAAAACACGTGTTCTTTTAATACCATTAGCCCTGGGCTGGTGAGGGGGGTGTGTTGGAGAGTATCTGTGCTTTAGAGAGCAACTGCTGTGAAACAATTAGAATTAATGTTTTATTTCTCTGATTCAGCAGATGTCTGGCTACCAGTGCTCCCTCTCCTCATTCAATATCTACGGCTAAAGCAGTCTCTCTCTCTTTCGCCTGACTGCAAGCCGGACAGACGTTGAAGCATGAAATAAACCAAACTAAGACTCAACTGGGAGATTATCGTCGTAACTGAAGCTGACTGATTTAGTCTGAATGAGAACTGCCACAAATACTCACTTGAGCACCAAACGTGTATTAATCCACAACTGAAAATAGTCCCCAATAAATTCACTCTTTCCTTCTCTTTATTCATTCTTGTTAGAAACTACAGCACTCAGCTGTTTTAGGAAACTCAAGAGTCGCCTTTAAAAATGAAACTTTATACTTATGACCTATTTTTATAAGAATCACCTCTTCGGCAGGAACCAATGGGCCCGAGACTGAGAGCCACAGACAGTTGAAAGGATTGAGAAAACACATTGTTGGTTTGGTCTTTTCATGGTATTTGTTGACAATACAAAACATATGGAGACCTCAACATACTACAACTGTTATAACCTAATTAAAAACAGGACACATCTGTCATGTGTAATTTTGCTTTCGGCTTATTTGCGTTAATTCTGCGTTAAGACTGCCCTCAACCTAAAACACATTTGAGCTACAAACTGGTATTAACTAACATCTGAGCACACATATACTGGTGCTGCTCCCTTTATTTGTCTCTCTCAGCCGTTATGCAGTGGACAGCTGGTGTGCAGTTGGATATTATCACAAGTCTGCTCACTTTCATTTATTTTTTTATTGTTACAAGTATAAAATCTGAGACACATGGAGCCAAATCCCTCTCCCCTCTCGTGCCAACTACCTCACATTTTTAACATGAAACTAGCTTCCAACAAATTACTAATTAAAAGCCTGAACTGCCTCATCCAGCGAAAATGAAGTCGAGGGTAAAAGAGGAACGAGTAAATGAACACACAAGGAGAAATAACTCTTTAAGAGGAGGTATTTTAAAAGACACACAACGTATTTACAGATTCAAACTCACCTCAGGCCACTTCTCTTGAATGACGTCGATTATGTCATCTGTAAAATCTCCCTGAATGATTATTTCATCCTCTGCTGTCACTGAGGCACCACAAGAGAATTTCTGGGCAAAGAATCGCTGAGCCTCTTTAAGTTCAATGTCTGCAAGAGTCAACACAGAATTCATGTTAAAAGCATCAAGAGAAAGAGAGAATAAATCAACGTTGAGAATAATAAAACAGTCAACTCTTACCGAAAGTTGCCAGGCCACACACCCGTGTGACGTATTTTTTCTTGGCTCTTGGGATTTTTGCTATCGTGACTTTCTGAGGCACAGTCTTCTTTTTCTGTCTGATCTGGCCTCTTCCACCTTAAACACAACAACATAAAGTCTTTCAAAACCTCTGACAGTGTTAATCCACATGAGGAAACTGGCAGTTTCACTATAATCATTGTATTGTTTATTTGTATGTATTTTATCGTCCAGATGGGCCTTTAAAATACATAAAACTCAATAAAGACACAGTACATAAGAAAACGGGACAATTATTCATAACTGATTGCTCTTCAGGAACTGTTTCAGTTTAAAATGATCCCAGTCAGGATCCAGTTCGAGTTCTGTAGGTCAGGAATTCCACATTTTAAATCACCCGAACAGAAAAAGCCGTCTTAATGAGGATTTACATAAGAGCACCTTACAGTTCCCACTGGAGGCTCCACATGTTACTCTGGGAGGAACCACAGCGTCAGTGGAGCAGCTGGGGAGCTTCCTTACGCAGGCGTTTGTAGGTGAGTTAAAGATGAGCAAATGTAATGAAATGAATCAAAACTTAACATATTTAACGTCCTAAGAACAGGAACAGCTTCATGTCTGAAATCTTGACTGATGGAGTGAATATGAATCAGAAGGCATCTGACAACTAGAGAGGGAGTTTCACCAGCAGAAAACTAACCAATTTATCTTTAGATTATTTTATTAAAGATTTACTTTAATAAGTCAAACTCAAACCCTGTTTTTGATATTACTTATGATCTGTTTTACAGCAATAGCATTTATTCTCAGCACTTCGGTTTCTATCTATTTGTCTTCTTTGTTAACGGGGGAGTCTGCCAGTTCTGTGCTTCACACGCACAAGGGATTACCAGCATGTGATTCAACGTTACCGCTTTTTATTTTATCTCAATATCAGCCTCACTTTTTATCTCATCAGAGCTGCATACTCCTAAATGCATTTAACTATAACACAGGGAAGCTTTTATTGTGAAGCAGTGCTGACATTGACTGACAAAGTAAAACATTTCCAGACTTTTGTTGTTGAAAGCAGGTCAGTTTTAAACACTGCAGGGAGTTATGGAACGAGCTGCAGGCAACCTCTAAACAAAGGTACCGACTCCTCTTACTGTTGCGTAGGAGAGCTACTCATGTCAGATGTAACTGCATCATTTTTGACTACCAAAGCAACTTCTGTAGTAGTAAACCACAAACCACAGTAACCAAATCCACCAGGATTTTAATTTAAACAATGGAAACACTTTTGCTTTGACACCTAGAAATAATATCTGAATGTACGTGTAACTAACGTCTAACTATAATACTTTATAATTAAATTTCTAATATTTGACCCCGTACCTCTCTTCTGTTTCTTTTTCTCCTCGTCCTCGCCTGCAGGGGGAGCTTCTCCAGCGCCGGATTCCTGCTTGGGCGTATTTGCTGCGGGGCCAGTAGGACAGAAGGAAAATAGGAAAAATATTAAAACCAATCTGGAAACGACACTCTTACCTTTGGACGAGTACTGCAGGTCCACACCCGAATCTTTTCAGTAACAGACCAACCTGCTGGTCAGTGTGTGTCCCTAACAG